ATTTTGAAAATAATAATTTTGATTCTATGGATGTTTATGAGGGAATATATATATGTACATGGTGTTTGGAGAGTATATGCATGCAATGAACTTCCTTGAATGTACAGATGGAAGTTTATATTGATTTCAGTAAAGAGTAGAACATAATGGTAACATGAATAACAGATAATAGCATCTGGCACTTTTAACATTTTCAGCCCTGAAAATCTTTGGAGAACTGACAGTTGAATGAAACTGACAGCCCTAGTTATCTCTCAGCACTTCCCTTTTTGAGATATTTTGAGTTTTTTCCAGATTGAGGATTTTTTTTAAGGGGGCATCTGGACAGGCTATTTCACTGAAAGAGACAGACAATATTTTCTGAAAATTACCACCAAAATTAAGCAACTGTTGTGCATATGAACTAGATAACAATGAATTAGAAATAATTACTCAATTTATGATGGTGTATGTGCACATGTATGTGAGTGTTGTGTTGGGTGTTGGGGAGATGGGAGGAGCAACGAAAGGAAAGGGTGGGAATTTGGGAAGCAAGCAAATCTTGAATACTAGTCTTCAAACATCATCCCTGTGATGTCTCCATTTAAAAATGCATTTTTCTTTTCCCTCTCTCCTACCCACATTCCACCCCATCAACCCTTTTCAAAACTGCTTCAGGAAAATCCAGACCCATTAGTAAATTTCTATATGCCCAAGGACGGGCAACTTTACTACCTTGACCTTTAATCTTCTCCTTTAAAATGTTGATGAAAATTTTGCCTTGCAGGATTATTAGGATATTGAATAAAGTTGTTGTTGCTGTTGTTGTTGTTGTTGTTATGTGCTGTGGAGTTAGTTCCGACTCATAGCGACCCTGTACAGGGTTTCCGAGGCTGTAAATCTTTAAGGGAGCAGAAAAGCCTCATCTTTCTCCTACGGAACAGCTGGTAGTTTCGAACTGCTGACCTTGCAGTTTGCAGCCTGATTCATAACCACTATGCTACCAGAGCTCCTTTTGAATAAAAATACTAGTGTATAAAGATGGTGGTGGTGGTTGTGTGCCATGCAGTCTGTTCCTACTCATAGTGACCCTTGTAGGGTTTCCAAGGCTGTAAATCTTAATGGAAGCAGAAAGAGTCATCTTTCTCCCACCAACTGGCTGGTAGAGTTGAATTGCTGACCTTTCAGTTATTAGCCCAGCTCATAATCTACTATGCTACCTAATCATTGGAGTCCTGGAGTGGTGCTGTAGGAAAAAACTCTGGACCGCAAGGTTGGTTTGAACCACATCACTGGCTCAAACTCACCAGTCAACCCTTGGAAACCCTAAACCAAGTCTATGGCAACAACACCACCTTATTTTTATTTTTATTGTCCATGGCATCCCTTTGATATCTTTTCAAGGAGGACTCTGAGTATAGCCTACTTTAAAACACACTCTCATCCAGTACCTTATTTCTCGTTTTCTAAATTGAGAACAGAATGTGGAAAATCTCTCTATTATTGGGGGAACAAGGGGTGAGATACTGTTGGAAGGAATTATAGCGATTCAGAACACATTTGCCTGTATCCCTATCAGCTTTAGCTTCCCCAGGCAATGAGTTGTCCATGTTCAGATAATGAAAACAATGAGCATTAAGCTTACAAGAATATTGTGGCAACTTCAACTTAAGGCAAACAGTTTGACTCAAAGTATTCACTTAGCATCTCTAAAGTCCTATCTGATGTTCTTAGTGACAGTGAATTCCCATATAGCTGGTGTGACACTATAGGATAAGCACTGGATTGCAACCTACCATCGATGGTTCAAATCCACCAGCTGTTCCTCAGAAACTCTATATAGGGTCACTATGAGTTGGAAGGGACTTAAAGACATTTAACAACAACAATAATAATAAAATATTGAAAATTATAGCATTAAAAGATTATGTTGTTTAACAGTATACCACTCTCAAAAGAGCATAAAAGTAAACTAAAGAAACTCATTGTTTCAGGTGAATTTTCTTGGAAAAGAAAACCCTGTCACATAAGCATAAGACAGAACCATATTCCAGATAGTAGGTTTTAGCTATACTATATAGTTAAATGAGCCTCTGAGACACTTAATGGGAGAGATATCTCAGGATATAAAAGGTATAGTGTTGACAATGTTGCTAAGGGTTGTTGTTGTTAGGTGGCACAGAGTCAGCCTTAACACAGAACAATCCGATGTACAACATAACAACACACTGCCCAGTCCTGTGCCATCTTCATACCTGGTATGTTGAAACCCATTGTTACCGCCACTGTGTCAACCCATTTCATTGGGAGTCTTCTTTTTTGCTGACCTTCCATTTTATCAAGTACATTGCTATGAGTATACAGCTCTAATCAGATGCCAGATAATGTAAAGGATCTTATGAAAATGAAAGCTCAGTTTATGTAAATTTTTGTTTCATTGCTACTCAAGATCGGATCTTATGTCTGACACTGAGTAGGAATATGAAGAAAATTTCTGGTGAATGTCCATGTCCCATTTATGACGCAGTCACATGAATGGTGACAGAAAACATAAATCCCTCTCTATGCACATGGTATTGAGATAGCCCCCAGAAACTGGAGCACTTTAGGATTTTGATCCTCTCACAAGTCATCCAAGAGTACAGGGGTTTATTTTAATTGTTCTGCAAAGCATTGTCCTTCTTATTACAGGAAAGATTTTTACTGGATCCACACCAAGTGATTTTGCATCTCCACTGTTTTCCTTTTGCAGTATAGGGTGCAACAAGCCATGATCTGATTTGAAATTGTCTTTCTGAGGATTAAATGGTTTTTCAAATGAATGGGACCCTCCCTACATTGTCTAAAGCCAATTTAGATGTAGAGGGATTGAATCATCAGTTTTGATGGCATTGTGATAGTGCCTCCAAACAACCTACCCACTTCCTTGCTTGCTCCTTACTTCCTGACACCAGAATTGTTGTGAGGATAGAGGTTAGCTATAACTTTAGTTTTGTTCGGAGCTGCAGTCTGCAACCTATCTGGCTGCTATGCAAATGTGGTTGTGTGGTGAGGGAAGGAAGACAGAATTGGTAACAATTCACACTTGTGATCATATCACACATTACTGTTTATAGTGCATACTTCCACAAAGAATATTTATCTCAATTTTTCAAGGACATACACAACTAGCTGACTCATGTTGTTAAGTGCCGTGGAGTCAGTTCCAACTCATAGCTACTCTGTATAGGGTTTCCAGGGAGCAGCTAGTTAGTGGGTTTGAACTGCAGACCCTGTGGTTCTCAATCCAGTGTTGATCCTACAGCGCTACACCAGAAGTACAGCTGATTCATATACAATGACAATACAGTTATCTTCCTGATCAACAGCAAAAGAGGATCAATTACTGTCACTTTGTTATTGTTGTTAAGTGTAGTTGAGTCAGTTCCAATTTGTCATGCTTCTGTATAGGGTTTCTGAAGAGAGGCTAGTGGGTTTGAACCACTGACTTTTTGACTAGCAGTTCAGTGTTTATTCAACAGTGCCACATCAGGACTTTATTATTGTTGTCATACTAGATCTATATTTGCAATAACAGAAGTCTAAACAGTTCATTCTGGCCACCAGTTCTTTTGAATGACACTCAGTAGTCCACGGCTACTTGGACCAAGCTATGCAGCTGAGAGTACAGAGATGGGAGCCAGAGGAATTCCTGTGGAGTCAAGCACATGGCTTTCAGGGATAAAATGAAAATGGAGCTTCCGTACTATCCTCAAATCATTTTCAAAATGATCAAATACACAAATGCATCTCTCCTTCAGGATTTGGTATAATTTAGACATCTAACATTCATGATCCAGAACTTCAAATGATAATGCTATCTATATTTGTATGCTAATACTGTTCCTCCATGAAACTAAGGAAATGAATTTGATACAATTGGAAGATCCTTGTCCCTGAATTTGGTTCATCTTTGACACTCTGGTTCAGAAAGACCTGGCAAGCAAACATCTCCATGTCTGGTGACAGTTTCCCTTACAGGTTGTTTTATTTTGAAAGGAGAGATGATATAATCTTTCATGCACTGCACACAATTGCAATCCTCATGGCGTTACATTTCACTATAAATGGGGGGGGGGAGGTGAAACTTAGAGGAGGAGGGTGAGAATTGTTGCACTGCTAGGATAATGTTATCCGTTTCAGAGTTATACATGCATGAACTGTTGAATTGCTGTATGTTTGGCTGTGTATATTCTCAACAACAAAAACAAAATTATAAAAAAATAAAACAAAATTCACTATAATGATATTTTAGGCAAGTGACAGGAACAGGGGGATTTGTTTATAAATTTCTTCTGAAATTTAAAACAATCAATTTTACCAAAATCGAAAATGAGACACAGAGTTTCCTATTATTTAAACAGAAATATAGAAGACATAGTTTAGGAGTTAAAATCTGGTAATACTCTGCAATCATGATTGGGTTTAAACTTATTGATTGACATATTTAAAGAAAATACCTCTTTCTCCTCCTCTGTCTTCCCATGGGCTTTGCTATAGTTGATAGGAGTATCCCAGCCCTCTTGGTCACAGAGCGCTTGATAGAATGCTGCATTGACCAAAAGGCTGCTTGTTTTGAATGGGGAAGAGGAAGGAGTTGGAATGGAACTGCTGGAGGAAGTTAGGGGTACAGCCTTGTCCAGGATTCGATTTTTTTTCATGCTTAAATCCAATGTGCCATTTTCATCCACTTCTATCTCAGCTCCCTGGTATACAATAGAAAACAGAAAAACATTTCAGCAGTTTGCAGTTATAATCTAGCATGCGAGGCTTTTAAGGGATATTTTAAATGCAAGCTTTTATGTCAGTATATCTGATTTTAAATCTAGCGTTCTGATTTGCATTGGTTAATGTTCAATTCTTAGCAGACTTCTAAGAGCAGTCCCATTAGCGAGCTTCATGTTTCTGGGTTTAAACAAAGTAAGCTTAATATAAACAAGATGTTCCAAATAGTAAATGTACTGACTAAGCCTCTTATTCTTGTTTTTTTTAAACTTTAGTTTTAAACCTTCTTTTCTGGTTTACAGAATTATCACTGCCAATTCATAATTTAAAGCATTAAGATTTTCACTTCATAAAAGGCACAATAAAGTCACACCCTCCCCCCACCACATCATAATACTCATCTAACATCAACAACAACAACATCAAAAATATGCAAAAATAACCAGTTGGAAAATAATTTGATTGGAATATTAGATCAATATGAAAGTATTGTTTTTACCCTAGGTTATTTGAAATGGAAAAGCTTTGTTAAATTATTGGAGGAAAGACATAAAACAAAACAAAACAAAAATCACAAGCCATACTTCACTCTCAGTGCCTTCTATCTATCTGGTGGTACCATGGTTTAAATTCTTCAGTTATACAGTACAATCAGGACTTCAGGACAAAGTGGATTCTTTTCTAGATTCTTTATTTAAAAATACCTCTATCTCATAATCTTTCTCCTTTTGGGATACCTTTATATTTTTAATTAAAGTTTAAGAACAGTAGCTGCCTTTAGTTCAAGCCTTAACAAAATGCTCATGCGATCTGTGTATTCCAAATGATATGTTTATATTCCAAGTATAGTTTAGATGGGGTCAGGAATCATAAATATTACCATAAAATAACTGTTAGGCCAAATGAAAACAAAACATATTTCACCATCATTTATCAATTGAAAATTAACTTTTAAACAATGCCTCTACTCTTTTCCCATTTAGCTGGCAAAACTATAGACTTCTTTGAAGATGAATAAAGCTTGTTTGTTGTTGGTAAGTGCCATGGAGTCAGTTCTGATTCTGTTGTAATTAGTTATTCCTGGGGATTTATATTATCCCCTACACACACACACACACACACACTCTCTCTCTCTCTAACACCTCCTAACAGTTGCCAGTGATGGCATGGGCACACTTTCCAGGTTCTAGGTTCCAGATTCCAAGGGCTCGCTGCTTGTGCTTGATGTAGAAATAAAAGCTCCTCTTCTGTTCCCTTGTTTTACCTGCTGAGATCATATTTCCAATCTCTCAGCTTAAAAGATAGATATGCTTTATAATATTTGTGAGAAATAAATACACTTCTAATATATTTGCAATAAGATGCTTTTGCCGTATCTTTTTGCCCATTTTAGTAAATAGTTTAATCTCTCGTGATAGTTCTAAACCCCGAATATGACAGTACAGCTTATCCAGGATAATAACTTAGTAACCACAACATCTTATGCCATCTGTATATTATCAGATAAATTTTTATACCAGCATTAATAAACCTTCATTACAGAAATTCAAGATATTAACTCTATCAGTGCTAGGTGTTCTTCTCATCATGATATAACAATATATTGTGGCCAAGTCAAAAACACTTGCTACACTAACTCATAGAAACTTTATTAAGCACAAATACCAAAATGTGAAGCGATTGGTTCAGACACATGGTCTATACATATCTAAAGACAGTGTCTCTATCTCTCTAACCCTTCCCTAAAGAATTCTGTACCCTTCAATTTACACCGTGTCAAACAGCATCCTGGAGGAAACCAAATTGTGTTTTTTTCTTTTTTGAGATGTTGTTTGAGTTTTGGAAACAAAAAGAAATCTGAAGGGTGAGATCAGGGTTGTAAGGTGGATGGAGTAAGGATTCCCCAAGAAATTCCCCTAGGGCAGCCCTTGCCGACCTTGTGGTATAAAAAGTTCCTTGGCACAATTTTCCTGGCCTCTTTCTCATCAATGCAGCTTTCAATTTTCTTTAAACTGTTTCCTAATAAAGCCCCCATCATTGTCGTGTGTCCTTTGAGAAAAATCTATCAATATATTTTTTTAGGATCCCTAAAAATAGTCACCACATTTTTCTAAGCTGATCTGTCTAGAATTTATCTTTAAGGTCTTCCTAACCTTCCTCACCACCACTTGTCTGTCAGTTTGTCGTACTGTACTGGCTTGTGAGTTGCTGTGATTCTGGAAGCTATGCTTTAATATACCATAGCTTTTAAATACCAGCAGGGTCACCCATGGTGGACAGGTTTCAGATAGCTTCCAGACAAAGACAGACTAGAAAGAAGGAGTGATGAACTACTTATAAATATTTGGTCACTGAAAACCTTATGAATATCAGAGAAACACTGTCAGATATAGTGCCCGAAATGAGTCCCTCAGGTTGGAAGGCACTCACAAGGTGACTGGGGAAGAGATGCCTCCTCAAAATAGAGTTGACCGTGATGACACAAGTGGAGTAAAGCCCATGGAAGAAAAGCCCTGGGGACCTTCATTTGCTGATGGGGCACAAGTCAAAATGAAGAGAAACAGCTGTAAACACCCTTTGAAAATCAGAAGATGGAATGTACGAACTATGAATCTGGGAAATTTGGAAGTTGTCAAAAATGAAATGGAATGCATAAACATAGATATCTTAGGCATTAGTGATCTGAAATGGAATGGTAGTGGCCATTTTGAATCTGATGAGCACATGGTTTACTATGCCTGAAATGACAAATTGAAGAGGAATGGTGTTGCATTCATTGTCAAAAAGAACCTATCCAGATCAGTCATGAATGAGGTACAACACTGTCTGTGATAGGATAATATCCATGTGCCTACAGGGAAGCCCAGTTAATACCACTGTTATTCAAATTGACGCACCAAACACTAAAGCCAGTGAGGAAGAAATAGAAGAATTCTACCAACTTCTTCAATCTGAAATTGATCAAACATGCAATCAAGATGTATTGATCA